TGTATTTCTATAAGTGGGGTAAAACTATGGAATAATTTAAGTGTAGACATAAAAAATAGTAATAGAATTGATGAGTTTAAACATAAATATAAAGGTATGTGTCAATCAAGATATATGCAAGAACAGGCTTAATGATTAATTAGATGGAACATTGTGGGTGTGGTGTATGAATGTTAACACTTTGTAATAATTCTTTAGTATATTACTTGTGTGGTGTAGAAGATAATTATTTAAGAATGTAATTATGTAAGAATGTTAACATTCTGTTATAATTTTTTTAGTATATTACTTGTGTGGTGTGGAAGAGAATTATTTATGTAGAGATACTGCTTGCAAACCAATGATGGTAAGATGATGTCATGGGGTAGGACTGGATAAGTCTGACTTCTTCCTACTCCATTCAAGCATGTTCTAAGTATAAGAAAATTGATTTTGGATTAGCATTTGTTGGATATGTGTAAAATTACGTGTGTTGACATATCAACTGTCTTTACATGCTTGAAAGAATAAATCAAATCAAATCAAAATCAAATCAAGGTCATTCTAAACCACCCCTCCATTCTCATTTCATTGATTTGACTCCAGCTTTGCTGACACCTAATTTCAGGTGATATTTAGTGATGCCAGAAGCCTGGTGTTGCCATTACTTTTTCCACCATCACTGTGTATGTTTAATGGGGTGTATTCAAAAAAAGTCATGAAAGACTCAAACTAACCCTTCATGACTGTGCTTTATCAGCTTAGAAATATTAGTTGATTGTGACTTTGGTGAAGATCATATTTCATGAACAATTTATGCAGAAAATCAGGAAACTGCAAACAGTGCCATTACTTTTTCTTGCAACTATACATTTCATCAGTCAAGCACCTTAAACTTATTTTAATAATTCATCTGTTTACAGACATAAATCAACAGTTAGGCATTGTGAGAAATGTGCTTATTTGCTTTTTTGATGAAAATTAGAAGAAAAGACTTACCATTCCCATGTCTGTGGAATGTTAGCTTAGGAAGAAAACAGCTAATCTGGCTGTGTCAAAAACATAAGATTTGTCTACCAGCACTTCTGACAACTACAGAATGTCACAGCTTCTGGCCAGATAATAGTCCAGGTCATAACCTCCTATAAGCAGGATTTGTAGTTTTTACACTTTTCGTAAATACAGAAGCCAAATCATATTAATAGCAAGGATCAAAGGAGCTACAGCTTAGCTAGTCATGTCTTTATGCTAGGCCATTAACTGTCACGTCATATGTATCTGACAGATATAAGAGTGGTATCCATCTTCTCATGTAACTCTGCAAAAAAGTGAATAAGTATGATTCACAAATGTCAAACTATTACTATAAAATTGGCTTTCTTTTAATTTATAATGCAGCCCAGCAGCAGGATGTTTTCTAAGGCACAGTGAGTAAAATAAGTTAATAAATATATATATAGTTTTTTTAACCGAACAATAAGAAACCCATGGTGTTTCTACCTCCAAACATTTTGCTAGTTATGAAATGCTGTCAACATCACTGAAATACATAAAATGAAAACATGAATACTGAATGTAAATGTGTAATCACTTAATGTTTCTGTGCTATTTTACTTACTGTAACAATAAACACAACCACAGTCCAACATGAAAAGTTCTTCACAACTTTAAAAATAGTAACATTTCTGGTATCTGCACAATTCCAGACACCCCTCAGAAACACTGCCGTTCATCTGGAGTCTGAATTTGATGAATATACAGGCCCACGAGTTACTGTATGTGCTATAAGGTGTTTTTTCTCCTCACTGCTTGATAAGTCTGTATGAGAGCTGATGCTTTCTCTCCACTGCTTTGGAGGAGCTGATCATCCTGTTGTGATGGAGACTGCTTCCTGTTAAATCAGTATATTCTACAACGTCATGTCAGGCCAGCAGTCTTTTTTAACCCTCTGGGGGGGGCCTTTTTGATTCAAACAGGGCAGCAGATGAGGAAGGGAGGATGGATGTAGGGTAAATCCATCTTCCACTAGAAAGGCAGTTTCAGGTTCAGCATGCAGACACAGGGAGTCCAAATGCAGCAAGTTGAACCAAAACAAAAGGAGCAAGAACAGATGAAACTTGCACGTTGTGGACAACTGGACACCAGTGTTGTGCTTGGGCATAGGAACAGGATGTAGGCTAGGCAGTTGATCGTATGGATAGGGAGGACCTAAAAGGCCCAACTAACCCTCATCTTCACTTTCTTCTTCCAGAGCCTCCTCAAGCACACTTTCTGGTAGCCTGAAGCATTCCTCAAAGAAGTTCACCAGGGACTGGCTGAGGTATTGCCTTGTTACTTCACTGTGAATGAAGTGGCCTTCATCTGGGTAGATCTGAGACACAGAGAATAAGGCAAGCACATAAGAAGGATGCTGCCTTTGACTACACATTTTTTTCACAATGATACTGTTCTGCATGTTCTTTGAAGTAATGCCTCTATGTCGCACAAAAATGAGGGTCAAAATACACAACTCTGTGCAAAAACTCACTTCCAAGTTGGCTGAGGCTCAAATTCAGCTTCTGTTGTCGCATTAATGCTAATTGGAGTTGGTATGTTTCAAAGTTACAATATATTTTAGGCATTTGATTCTTTTTGTCTCCCAGGATAGTACCATGCTGGGCTGTGGCGGAGGGATATGTTGTAGTAGTCATGTGTAAGTTTGTTGCTGTTGGTCAGTGTTTACTATTCAGGTTGTGCTCAGAGTTGAAGTGGAAACAAGTTCGTACCTGACAGATTTGATAGCTGGACATTTTTGCAGTTTGTGAATTTAGGACACCAGTAAAAAGCTCTTGTGTTTGGATTATACAAGGCCAGTCATTTTCTATATTAGCAGTGTTTTCAACACACAAACACTAAAGCCAACAATGATTTGCCTCTACTTGTGATTAAGCTCTGTCATTCCTGGATTATCTTATTTGTCAGTGCCACAGACCTCCATTGATGTCCAAAAACAAATCAGGGAAATACCGACCTTGTCCTTTAACTGAATTTTAGCAGGTGAGTACAGAGCAGACATCAGTAATGGCACTTATGCTGGGCTGTGGACAGAGAGCAGCAGCCTGGCTCTGGCCATGCTTTGAGCCATGGGGGCAGCTGTGGCTCAGGAGCGGGTACATGTGAGGATACAGGACATGGTTATGTTTCTGATTTGTATTTTTTTTTTATTACAGAGGAGAGAGAAAGGAGGTGAACGACATGGCCAACTCTGAGCCAGCGACTCTGCAACTCATGGCCAGCACCTTAACCCCAAGGCTACCAGGAAGAAATCTGTAGTCAAAGGTAGAGGCTTTTCTCATGATTATTACACAGTGTGCCTTAAATATTTGGATTTTTCTTAAAACAATACTGACGTTCCCATTTGTATGAGTATATGTCTGAGTCACTGACTTCTGTTCTCCACGCTGTAAGAAATGACTGACAAAATACATGTGTGTTGTGTAATGTGTAAAATGTGGTCCAAAGTTCATATGAAGCTTCAGCTGTCCCACTCAGCTAATTTGAGTTGGTATGTTTCGAACTTCCAATCTATTTTAGACAAATTCAATCCTTTTTGTTTCCCAGGTAGTTCCTCGCCGAGCTGTGGCGCAGGGATAGTCGTGTGTAGGTTTGTTGTTGTTAGCCAGTGTTTACTACTCAAGTTGTGCTCAGCGTTAACTTTGAAGCAAGTTTATACTTTTTCATCGCCAGAATATTTGTACAGTTTGTGGTTTTGGGGCACCAGTAAAACCTGCTGTTACATTAACTGCGATCTATACTCACGTACAGTTGGGAACATCAATCTTGTTTCAACACCAACTTGAAAATCCTGTGCCTATCCTTTAAAAAACTGGATGTAAAATTGCAGTTGTGGTCACATATTTAATTTAATGCCTACTGTATGCACGTTCTTTGGGTTAGTACGTTTGATGTAACGAGGAAGTACAGTACTCTCACCAGCCAATCTGTAGTGGAGGATAGAGCCAAAGCTAAAAGACATTCACTTTAAAATGAAATAAAAAGCAATTATTATTATTCACAGATTATTTTTGCATGGGAGTTGAATTTCTGAATTGAAAGTTTAACAATTTGTATGTTTACCCATGACCTAAAATCTGTTAAGGCTACTCAAGCAACCAGCTTACTGCATGTATGCATGGTAACCTGTCCGCTGGTCAGTCAGGAGCGCTGACGAACAGTGCATTGCTGCTGCAGTACGTCACATTTTAATTGGAATTGTCCTGGAGTTAATGCAGGACTCCCAAGAAGGTCTCATAATCTCATTATGTGAAATTAATGCAGTGTGATGGGCTAATCCTCTGTTCTGCTCTGGAATCAAGAAGCTCCCAAAGGTTTAAGAATAACTGAACCAGAGAAAGAACGAACCACAAAAACTGGATTAGCAGCTGCTGCAACTACAAAGGCAGATAAGTAAAACCACATACCTGTAAGGAATAGTTGGCCTTTTCATTGATGAGCTGGGAGATTAATTTTGCTGTATGTTGGAAATGGACTTTTTCTAAGAAGAGAGAACAAGACAGATGTCAAAATACCAGAAATGTTCATTTTCTTTTTTTGCTATAGTTCTTGACTTACCATCAGCTGTTGGATGGACAATAAGAAACTTCTTATCTATGAACTCAGATGCTCTGTGAGCTAAATTTGCCATCTAAGGAGTAATACCATATACAGCAGCAAATTAGATCAATTTGATACTATAATAATGATCACAAATGTAAGAAATGTTGTCAGATCATACCGCATATGGCCTTGGATCAGGTTTAGGCACTCCGAGATACCTCTCTGAAAATGCAGAGGCTGGAGGGGAAAAAAGTTTTAATTAATAACTGCTTAGATATAAAAAACAAATGAAAACTTCACATCAGTAGCAAGATTGGTGCATTATTTCTGTCTTGTTCTCTGGCCATTTTAAAGGATAAAGCATGATTTTTTCTTCTCCATATTCAAATATATCCTGGTCTCGAATCTATTGCAGACCTACTTCATTTGCAATTCTGAACTTATACAGTGTCATGACACGTCTTTCACCCCCTCTGGCAAAGCGAGAGAAATCAAATAGATGGGAAATCAGTCTCACTGCGACACCCAGTTCCTCCTTAATTTGCAGTTTCCTGACTCAGTGCGCCTACAGCTATCAGAGCGCAGACTCTCGTTCTCCCGTTGTCACTTTCCTGAGGCACACAGTTCTACATTTCACACATTTTATTCCATTGGTAGCTGAGGTGAGGCTGGCGTGGTTAACTTTGTCTGGCACTGCTATGATTGCATTCTAGATCTATCAGCACCATCATGCTGTCAAGGTGAACAATCTCAGGATATTTACCTTCTAACACAAAGTACACACATTCCATGTATAGAACAGGGGGAAAGGTGCCAGATTTGCAATGTCTGACTTTCATTTTCCTTTTAAATTCTGTGTGACAGCACTGCCACAGCCTGAAAGATGCTGCACAGATACTATATTTGCTTACTACATACAGCAAACAAGCACAGCTTACCATATAATTCAAAGTCAGTAATGGGTGACAGGACAGCGCCACATTTCACAGGAGACCCCTCACCACTGACCAACAGGCTGGTCACATAGCCTCCATACACCTGAGACACAGAAAAATGCACGTTATCACAGATGGCTTCTCAAGCTGAGACCACTGCTGTTCAACAACAGCATACATGAAGCTTTTTAGCTACAAACTGAGACTAATCTTACCTTTCCAAAAGCACCAACTCTTGTTTTGTCGATGTAGGGATATTTCAAAATAAAGCTTCAAAAGACAAACATTGGTTCTGGTTAGAAAATATTTACATACAAGGTGTTTTTAGCAGTAATGTTCACAAGGAACTTAAAGGGTTTTACCATTATAGGAATCTACTGACATGTGTCACGCTGAGTAACAGGTAGTTAATTATGTTATAAGGTAGCTAACCAACTGCAATATTAAGTACTGTATATTTTGATGCTAATACGTTTGTACTTCACTTTCACTTAAGTAACATATTTAATGCAAGACTATTACTTGTAACAGATATTTTTACACTGATATTTCTACTTTTACTTAAGCAAAGAATCTGAGTACTTCTTCCAACACTAGTAAACACAGATAAGAACCTGCAATTTAATTGAATTTTTAGCAACATACGCTGTTCCTAAACATTAGAAATGTCAAGACTGATTGGGATCAGGACTGAATGTGGTGAGATGATGCTATGTACAGCAGCCATTTTGCATATTCCAGTAGCTTTTAAGGCTTTAAGACGAGATGAAAACGGTTCTGCTCCACATACTTGAGTGCATCCCTCTGATCCTGTTCCTCGAACACGCCCAGTTTCTTGTGGATCCGGTGCAGCAGGCTCGTGCCCTGGAAGCTGCTGCCTCGTCCGTCACAGCGCATCACAATTACATCAAAGCTGCTCACCAGCACTGTGGCCCAATCCAGGTGAAACTGTTCTGACACCATCTGGCCACCAGGTGTCCCGTCCCTGCACACAAACAAGCACAGCAGAGCAATCAGTACAATCAGCTGCAAAAGTTGCCTTTTTTCTTATATTAAAATTAAAATAATAAGATAAATTATGATCTTGTGTCAGTATGAGACAGCTGTCAGTAAATAATATTATGCAGTTTTTTGTCTGAACATTTCTTGAAACATATTTGGCATCTGTGAGCTGACACTAAGCTACATTGTGCAGGATTCTTAGAATAAAACCTAAGGTTGGAAGGTTTATTTTATTCTAAAGCTAACATGGCACAGTGCTTGGTCATTGACAGCAAGTCATGAGCTCTTCTGTAGGATTAAAAAGTCAGCATGCAGCAAATTATGAGTTTGGTCCCTCTGAAATGTTAAGGCACAGCACAAATGGTGAAGAGTCAAGATTTTAGCTGTAGCATAAAAGGAAAGGATGCTAATGAAAGAATTCAGAGGTTCAGTTCCCTTCTTCTTAGTGTAATTATTATCCAGCTAGAGCAAAGGATAAATCTGCATGTCTTTGAGTTTGAGTAATATGCCAGAGTAGAACCCTGGACAGCCACTGGACAGAAGTGTTGACATAAGTCGGCATTAATGCAAACTTTTTCAATGTGTGCGTGAAAACAAGCTCATACATACACAAGCAGGAGCAGCGGGTAGTGTGAGGTCTCCACAAAGCCAGCGGGTCTGAGGATTTGCATTGACAAAGCTGTAACGCAGACACAAACACAATGTGCATTCCTTAAGTATATGCATGTCCTCTGCAGAGTAATGGACTTGTATCATATTATGTGCATCTAAAAAAAAAGCATTATAGAAGTTTGGATGTTACAGTTAAATTAATTATTCACAAAACCACATGGACTTTAATTAATTAGAGTGAATGAACTGTGAAGTGTGTGAAAATTAAGTATCACTCAAGTTGTAACAGTGGTGGCAGGCTAACTCATGTGCTTTATGATTCAATCCTAATTAAAACATCAAAGTCTACCATATTGTGCAGTTTTGCATTGGCTTTGCATTTTAATGTCTACTGTACTGTGTACATACTGTAGTCATCCATGTTCATCTCCTTGTACTCCACTGTGGGCATCTGCATGGAGTTGATCTTCAGCCTCAGGTCGTCATTGCTCTCCAGTCTATATACTTCCACAATACCTGTGGGCAGCACATGATTGGTCAATAAAATTGGACTCGGGTAAAACAAAGTCAAATATTTAGAGCTATGCTTGATATAATAACACAGTTACACACAATATCAGAACCTCTCCTCCTACAACAAAGACAAACCAGAAAAAAACAGGCAAACTGCAGCCGGTAGAGACCCGGATTCTCTAAAAGCAAACTTTATGCCTTGAGAGGTTTTCCTGAAAAGAGAGCCAGCTGTACATAAAGCTACAGTATATTATATAAAGTAGCGCTAGCATGAAACTCCAAATCACTCTGCTCTGCCCGGCACTCCCTCTCCCTGCTCTGCTACGATCTGCTACATTCTGCCCAGATATTTGTCATGATGAAATTACAAGAAATCAGAATGCAACAAAAGTTTTTGATCAAGCAGAAATAATTGAAAATCTGACTGGTCAGAGGTCAGTTCCACTCAAAACATTTTAGAAGCTAATATCTCTGCACTGCTGCCAGTGCTGGTCAATGAGTCTGGGTCACAGGAGGCTTTGACAGCACCTTGCCACATGAAGACGAGCTCTGGAGCAGATTTCTACAACAAAATATATTTGAAAAACTTGCATACTATAGATTTAATCAACAACCACAACTGGTTTGTGCAACACAACCTGAGGTTGCCATGACTGCTTAAGTCAAAAGGTGAACAAGCAAATCTATGTTGACAGTGGTTTGTGTAAACAATCAGAAGACTGCATCTAGCAGAGAGATCAATAGCTGGCAGGACTGCATCTACTGAGGAACTCAGATCAAACCTGCCAGCCTGGTGGAGGAAAACTTCAATTACACCTGGAAATAGAAGAGCTCTGAGTAGGGTAATGACTGTGGCTGTAGACAACAGTAGCTGTTTCCGTATGCATTCGTTTATGGGCTAATGTTCATACCACTTTGATATCAAGAGCTGCCAGTGTTATTTCACCTGTAATGGCCTTACATCCTTTTAAAATTGAAAAGCAGTAAAACAGTTATTTTTACTGGCCATTCTACAGGTGGGGCTCTAGGGATGCCAGTCATTCTGGACTGTCGTCCAGAATGAAATGTCTTGACAAGTATTTGATGGATCGCCATGAAGTTTGGTTGAAATATTAATGCTGCCTCCAGGATGATTTGTAATCATCTCACACCCTCATCAGGTGAAACTTTGTCCTCTGCTTTAATATCTGTAAAACATTCCCATTAATATCAGCTGGTTCAGGCTCTAACAGATTTGTTGGATGTTTTGTTTCCACAGTACATATTACATACACAGTATTACTCAATGGTACTGTGTTGAATTTAACAGGAAAATAAAATTGTCTCCTACACATTACTACCGACAAAAGAGCTTAACATTTTGAGAAGCTTGACTTTGACAGGGTTGATTCACTAACATAAGGATTAACTTTTGAAACAAGACATAAAATAGGTATGTTGCCATGACTGATCTGGGATCATGTGAAATCATCAAGAAAATCATTGAACTAACTTGTTAATCCATGTACAAAGAACAGGCCCCGGGTCTCCCTGTGTCAACCTGTTTTGGACTCAGCTTCCTGTTTCCCCTTGACTGTTTGCCATATGTCTTCCTGTGTGTTATCAACCTCGATTTGGAGTTTAACTTTACCTCCTGTTTTTCTCTGTAGTTCATCTCATTTAGTTGTTTTTTCACAATAAACTTCTCTGCAATCTGTCTGCATATTGCATCTGCACTTGGGCTCTTTCTCTCCATTTGCCATTTCCTGATTGGAAGCGTGACAATTCTCCTAGATTCTTCTTATTAAAGATTATGGCATCCTGGTTGCACTGCTATGACAATACTTTGCATATTTTCTGAATATCAACCATGTTGATTTCAGTCTAATTTTAGGCCTGTTGGGATAGAAATATCTTTTAAAAATCAGACAACTCACCAGTTTGGCAGATAAAAATTTGGCAAACACTGCTGCACGGCTGAACACATCAAATAATCTACTACAGTCAAGGCTTCCCCAGTGGTAAATGAAGAAGCTGACTGGCGCACACACACTGTAGTAATCAAATTACAGTATGCTGATACTGATACTGGGCAGGCCATAATTTAATGAGGATATCTATTGTGAGGACTAATGTGATTACTGTCATCATACTGGAGTTGGCTCAAAGACAGTGACTCAGTGGTCATTCTGTGCTGCAATGGAAACAAGTCTAACTGCTTTTGACAAGGTCATTTTCAATGTTGCTATAATGCAGTTAGGTACAGGGTCCATTTTAATTTCTTTAACAAAATTCTGAGCCTTGTAAATGCAAATCTGTGATTTAGTTTAATGGAATACTCACTTTCTCTGTCCTGCGCCTCACTCTGGGCATCTCTCTGTGTCTTATAAATGGCCACAAATGGGATATCTGGGCCTGAGGAGAAAATGGAAGTTTAAAAACTTGGGTACAAACATATTACAAGACCTCCACACACATATACAGTATATATAGTTTCATATTCATATCGTTCCGGGTTTTGTTTTTATGAAACTACCATTGTGACATACAGGTGCACAGCTATAATTAGTTCTTGAGTAAAGTCTGAATTCATCAAACACACATAATGTCAAGTAAAAACTAGAGAGAATTATCCCAGATCTTTTGTCTTTCACATGCAGAGGAAACTCTTTGCTAGGTTGATTGATGTAATGCAGTAGCTTTTCCATATCGAGGCTACAAACAAAGGCAGGGTCCCTCCAGCTTAGCCCAAAAACCTCAAAAACAGAGGGGCGAGGGACAGCAAAAGAAAAGACTGATGCCCTTAAGCAAACTGGGAGCACCGCACATGAGCATCAGTGTCACTATGCTTTTTTCTAATAAGAATTCCTACAGCCCTCTGAAGTGAGGAGGACAAATACAAATGGGTGATCTGCAGTTTCTAAAGGGGTGATAAAAAAAGATAAAATTGCTTTCCCATTTGAAGAAGCCCAGTTGGATGAGCGGACTCTCCATTTGGTGGAACCTTTTTAATCATGGTTATTAAAGAGCTTTTGAATGAGTAACTTGACAGGCTGTGAGAATAATAATTAATTATCCACCCTTCTGATTCATGGTGTGCTGTTATAAAAGTAGCAGGTGTGCTTGGGTACACCTTCATTGACCTTGCGCCAAAGGACTGCTCTACTGCACTGTTAAAATAGAACCCCATGTGTCTACATACACTAATTGTACCTTGAAGAGAAAGACAGAATGGGCACAGTCCAAGATTCTGTTACCTACCTTGGCACCTGAGCAGGAAGTAGCTCACATTGTGACTGAAGGAGCCATCGATGTAGCCACAGCTGGTGGCCAAGGCACATGATAGACATCGGCGGTTGAAAGAACCAAATGTGTCTGCACTATGGAAACAAAGAAAGGTCACTGAACTTTTTACAGAAGCTTTTAACTGAAGGAGCAAAACTGTGCACTTCATCTTTCAAGTCACTATAGAGATACTATTACCTGTACAGATGCCTTCGCTTTGGTCCGTCTTCAGTGCTCAAAAAGTATCTGTATAAACAAAAGAGACAAACCAAGAGAGAACCCCCAAAAAATTAGCAACTGAATTTCATGTATCCTATAGTATACTATAATGTATAGCTCTAAGCTTGCCCTAAGTACTCAATGAGATATAATAAATGTTTCATAAATGAATAATGGAGGTGAAAGAGGTGATGAATCCTTTGATAACAGAAGAAGGCCAAATCACTGGTGAAGAAGACTGTGGGTGGGGGAGTGTTTCAAGTTAACAATGTGAACAAAAGATGCATTTCTATATATGCATGCAGGTGTGTAGATGTGTGATCACGTTGGTCATATCACTGCTGTATTGTGGCCAGAAATGTGGGTGTGAAATGATCTGGCTGTGATGGGGATGAATCACAGCACTCACGGGCCCAACAGTGACATGGGGCGTTTTTACACCGAACGCATTTAGAGCAGTTTGAGCTGGAAGAAAAACACGAGGCTCACCACAACAGAAAACTATAGTGTTATTTTTCTGCTGTGAGTGAGGCGGTGGTGCTGCTGCTGGTGTGTGGGCGCTCACATCAGCTGGCTGTCCTCATTGTAGGCCAGGACTTTGGTGACATCCCAGTCTCCTGAGGTGATGGACTGCAGTGTGTCTGTGCTGGTGTTGGGCTTCAGGTGTAGACAAGTAAACAGAAAAAGAGAAGAATGTGAAATGCAGAACTGATTTGAAGATTTTATCCATCTTTTTTTTTTTAATTCTTAATCATACTGTACACAGAACTATTATTGAACCTGGGAGATGGACATGGAGATGTGGTAGAACTTGCCCCTTCCACCCTGAGGAATGGCTCGGGTGAAGAAAACCTTCAAACCATCTTTGGAAAACAGCGGCCTCTCATTCTGATGAGAGAAGATAATGAAAGGCATTGACTTAAACTATAACGAACACAAAAAACAAACAAAGCGAAGAACAATATAAATCCGAGTATACTGTACCTCACATGTGTCAGTATTCTCACCTGTCTGTGCAGCCATCCTGCACTTTCATCCTCATGTTTCTGAAACAAACAGGCTGGTTTCAGTTGGTACCGTTGATACACACAGCACATTTACCATACACAATGGTAAATTAACTAACCTTAGTGCAGACTCCTGTTGTAGCTTCACACAGTGTGAGTATAGAGATGTTCTGGGCCCTGTTAAGCCAGCTGATGGCCAGTTTGGTGGTGGTGGCCCATTTCACCATGGTCACATAGTATTCACTAACGAACAGAGGGATTATCAAATAACTTTACTTACATTTCATGGTCTGTGAATCAGCACTGTCAGTGGGTAAATGACAAAAATATTAGAAAAGCATGTACTAGTTATAAGCAAATCGATATTGGATTGTGTGTAAAAATGTGTGTTGTTATATCAAGTGTTTTATATGCTTGAAAGAATAAATCAAATCAAATCAAATCAAAATGAGACAATGACTCAGAAAAGTAACTAAGTGCTTCTAACTGCACCACAGGTCTGAGCAGAGAGACACTGGGCACACTTCACCTGATCCTGGGATCTTCAGGTCTCCTCATCTCAATGGTGTGAAGAGGGCCGTTAAGGTTCACCACATACAGAGTGACGACTGGGTTCTCCTCACCCACCTGAGCAGAGAAAATGTGCTTAATGAGTTCAAACAGTACATCTACAATTTCATGAAATACACAACCTGTTACCTACTGTTAAATCAATACATCTTAACAAAAATGCTTTTTATAAATGTTTAGAACTTGATGACTCTGCTAAATATAATGGGGGAAAAGTCAGTCAAGGGATAAAACGTGCACCTTAGGGTAGTGGTACTCTCTCCCCACAGGGTAGGGCATGCCTGTGAACATCGGCAGCTCCATCCTAGGCACCAGGGTGTCGTTGATGGTGGCATATGCTAACCTGGCACCATCTGGAGACCACCAATGGGCGATGTAGGACTGGAAAATCTCCTCTGGAACAGTCAGCGCAAAATACCCATCAATCATAATGACACTGAATAAAAATCTCAAACAGCAAAGACAAGTTAATTACATGGCTGCGGGCCAACAGCATCCTACTGCTGCTTCCTGTCACGGTTAGACATTAACAGGGGTTCTAGGGAAAATGTTTAAAGTAAAAAAAAATAAAATAAAGTGCTGTATCAGTAGTAGCACTCCTTATACTGAATGTCTCAGTGTTCACAGAAACTCATTAAGTTAAATTAAATGCTGACTCATACAGGATTTATGGATGTAAAGTTGAGCAGTTATTGCATACGTGTACAGTAGGTAGTCTGAATAACGCGAAGTGCCAGAAACCTGACAAATTCATCACAATAATCCAATAATCTATTTAAGAAAAATGACAAATGAATAATAATAGAACTGCCCCCTAAATAAGACTAAAAAGCCCCTAAAAATTAAGGTTAGTGGTAAGAAAATCAAGTTCCTCTCTGCCCTATACACTGCGCTAACTCCTGCCTGACCTGCTTGCTATATTTGGACCAAGTAAATTTACAACAAATACATTTGCTCTCCAACTAAAGAAGACAAGTTAGCAGAGCTCTCTCAGTTTGAAACAAATCAGTTTAAGATTCTAATTTATCAGGACTCTCTCTCTTTTGTTGAAGTAGCAGATGAGTTTGGTTTGCTGGCACAATTTGATTCAGTCCTTGAATTACTGATCAGTTAAGTTTCAAAGTCGTACCAACTAATAACTTATCTATGCCAAAGAATATCAGCAATTAGTGGTTATGGTTTAGTCTCCTGGAAATTCCGGAAAAGTTTAGGCACAGTCCACATGAGGTATTAAAACAAATCTGTGTGTACTTTATGCGTGTATAGCATTTTAAGCAGGAACTACACTTTATATTTCAGAAGTGTGGCGTGCTGCAGTGGGCTCCCTTGAGGCTCTCTGTGTGCAGGTGTGTGTGTATAAAACTATGTAGCAACCACACACAGACATTTGCAAAGAGAAAATAATTGGGGACAAGCAGTCTAGGTCCTCCGTTCTGCCGTTACACACAAGCACCCCTGTCAACACAGTGACTTATTAAGAATTTATGCAAATAACAGCTCACTGAGGAAACTTTTTGACAACATAAAGCATGGCCGTGACATTCTACTTCCTAATTAAGTCTGTGGCAATGACACACAGCAGAGACAGACAGCAGAGAAACAGTTCAACCTGCTGTTATAGCCTACATTTATAACATATATCAACACAACCTTTGCAAATGAAATTTCATTACTTGCTGCTGGTCTGTGGTACTGGACACTGAGTTTGGAGAATTATCAGCCATCAACTATCAATCAGCATTTTGAATAACTGTGCTTGATATGCAGCATCGTTTCCTCTGCAATAGTAGTTCTGCCTGTAGAGTCTGTCCACTGCTAAACTAATTATAGCGCCAGCCATCTCTATGTCAGTAACATGCGAGAGAAATAGAGTCGAATTAGTCTTTACTCTCCAGGCCCGCTTGGTGTGTCACCTGCACCCAGCTGGCAGAGAGGCCCGACAGTAAACAGAGCAGAGCAGCAACAAATAAAGAATAAAACTGTTTTCCCGCATGGTCGGTTCTGCTGTTGTCTGCTGACTTCACCAGTGGGTTCTTTAAAAGCTTCCCATGCACAGTGGAGCTGTCAGAGCTGCTTGGCTGGGGCCGCACAGTCACCTTGGCTAGTCAAGGAGAAAGTAGCTCGAGGTTTCCTGATACGTGTGTGACAACAAAAGAAAGTGAGAATAAAAGAGGAAGCAGTGAGCGCAGTGAGATCAAGGAGTGTAAGTGAACCACTTTTGATGAGATAACTATAAGACTGTGTCCCTTTGTGATGATTGAAGGCTGCTCCTCATTACTACATAGTAATTATTCATGTATTAATGCATGAGATAGCACGAGTCAAATGGTCATGGGAAATAATGAGTGCAAAGTGACAGACTCATCAAAACTGAACTAATGAGGAAAATAAAAAACATCCCAGGTGACTGCAAAAACACACCCTGGGGATATTAGTCGTATGGTGCCATTATATCACTTAAAGTGATCAAGTCGAGTGTTAATTTAGAAAAAATGGTCACATGCTTCCAGCAGAGGGCACAAGTGTCGCATGCTAAAACTACAAAGCAGTGTAGTGCAGATAGAAATGCAGTTTTTATTCTTCGCTCTTAGTGTCTAGTGAAGAATTTTAGCCCACTCCAACTGCTTTTCTTGTGTGTTCTTATATTTATAGCCTGTAGTACATATTAACAATCAGAGGTGACATTAGCATCAATCCTGCTGTCACCTTTAGCAGCAGGCACAGGACAAAACTCTTTCCATATCGTACAATCAAAAGGAGCTGCTAAAAACAAACCCAGACAGTTAAATAGAATTAGTTCACAGATTAATTATTAATATTAACTAAATATTAAGAAATCTGTTTTGTCTTAAGGAAATACATGAGGTTATCTGTAAATGAAAACTATCACCATAACTTGTTGGCAAAAGATAACCAAGACACTAATACAGATAATGTATTGTATTAGATTAAGGACAAAACTAAATAAAATATAAAAAAAAAACATCCTGGACCTATTATTGGTCTGCTAACTAATTGTGAACCACTGTAACTAAACAGACATGGCAGTGCAAAAATCAGATAATCTCCGAGATGGAAAAGTTTGCTTGAGTTGAAAACTGACAGCAGGGACACATCCTCTTCCTGGCTCGCTGACAAGCAGTCATCTAGTTTTCTACCCAGCATGCCAAAAAAAAAAACCTGTTACTATAAATGCCATAACATTACCACTATGCACACTGGAGTGACAGTGCAAGTGCTAATTAAGTATGAACAGACAAGGCAAGGCTTTACAATGTATACAAAGCCTCATTTACAGTTTGTGGCTCAGTCCAAAGATGGTGCAGGAAGAAAATGCTGTTACAATCTGCTGTTTTTGAAAATAAGAAATATTGGGAGGATTTAGCAACCATGGACACATTTCAACAATAGTCCCACAGATACATTTTCCTGAAAGTAAAAACATTTTTAACAGATTTTATTTTTCGATCTCCATCTCTTTTGCTATGCAGCTGTAACTTAAAAAAGCTTTCCTCCAATTCTACACCTCAGGTTCAGTTTACTCATCATATTGAGTCATACTCAGCCTTTGAACAGGAATAAAAAGATGGTTTTGTTCACCAGTAAGTTCAGTAGAACAGTTTCCAAACTGCATTCGCAACTAACTAAACCAACATTTTGATTCTCTTTATTAATCTTTCCCTTTCCAGCTCACAAGTGTTGATGACTGTATGTGGTTACTGAGTGCCCTGCGGGCTCTGACACAAACAGCCATAAACAGAAACAGCGCCATGAACAAACCTTTTGATGCAAACAGCCATCTAGCAAACATGTATGGGGCAAACATGACTCAAAACAAAGCAATGCCGGGTTTTTATCTCAATGCGCCAAAGCCCAATATACAGCTGTTTCCTCCGGCTGCTCCGCTCTGCAGGATGTGTCAGTATTAGTACAGCCTCAATAATCAGACAGCAAACAGACGACAGAACACTTGAGACTCTCCTGAGGCGTTTTGGACTATTACACACAGCAACGAGCTCTTAGCTGCGTCTTGTCTTTCTTAATTTGGCTTCTATTTTTTCTTCTTCTCTTATCTCTTTCCATCTCTCCTGCATGCATGCTACAAACACACACAACCATTTATGGATTAGCAATGCAAGCCAGAGGATATTCAAGCCTGGGGAGATCAGTTGCCAGCCTTTCACCCCTCAGCATCAAGTCTGATGCACAGCAACAGGCAGTGCTTGAGACCTCATTTCTCCTCAGTGGCAGTCTGAGCCTCTGTTTGACCTTGGCTCAGGTCATTAGCATGAAAACTGCTCTGCCTTGCAGTCTCACTGATGAATGTAAACATTACACAACCTGGCACGGCTTCTGAAGTCCCCTGCACATTGCAGCATCACCAGGAGTCGAGCGCCAAATCGATTTAGAGGCTTATAGATACATGTATTCAAAAGGAATTTATCATCAGGAGGAATGAAGAGGACCTTTAATTAGCAAAACAATAAAAAAATAAAAATAAAAATCAAGACATCATAAGCTGCTTGTAATGCATTTAGAACAACGATGTAAACACCCAAATATTACACCCAAATGTGACCCTTCCAAAACAAACCATGGGAATTATTCTGCTAGTACAACAGCTTCCACTCTTCTTGCACCAGATTTTTTTTTAACCTGGCTAATTTTTTTTTTTTAGTATATTACTTGTGTGGTGTAGAAGAGAATTATCTATGTAGAGATACTGCTTGCAAACCAATGATGGTAAGATAATGTCATGGGGTAGGACTGGATAAGTCTGACTTCTTCCTACTCCATTCAAGCATGTACTAGGTATAAGCAAATTGATATTGGATTAGCATTTGTTGGATATGTGTAAAATTATGGGTGTTGACATATCAACTGTCTTTACATGCTTGAAAGAATAAATCAAATCTAATCAAATCAAATCAAACAGGACTTGCTCCCTCAGTAGCATTAGTGAGATCCAGCACAGATGCTGGACAAGAAGGTCCGACTCAGAGTCTGTGTTCCACTTCATCCCGAACCTGCTTTTAGCCCTATCATTACTTTGTGATTTGCAACCCTTCCAACTGTTCTCAACTTCCCTTACTGATAAATGAGTTTGTCAAAACACCTCTGAGTTTAACACAGCACATTTCAAAACTGCTGTGACAGTATCTGAGTAGTTTCACCTTCCAGAAGGTGAGATTTAGTGCAGAACACAGTTCTTTTTATCTACCCTGTGTTATCATAATTCAGTAGTTATTTCAAGTTAACACACTTTCAAATACAGTGACTATCAGCAGCAAACATTGTCCTGTTAACTCAGGACAATAACATTTATCATAAAAAAAGGAGTGGAAGTATTTCAGTGTCGCATCTACTGACTTGTCACTATAAAGAAAATACAATTCTGTTGTCCTCTAATTCACTTTTATCTCGACATCATGAATATAATTCCATGTTTTATCTCTCAAAGTTTTATCTAGTCAGTAAATGAGTCTCAATTACCAGGCCTTCAGCAGCTCAGGAATAAAAGTCAGGGTGTCAGACACTGCAATACAGCACTGATTAATGTTTAACTGCATGAAACTGGATATAGTCCTTGGATATTCTACTTCTTCGTTTGAAGGATGGACCTGGGTTCAAATGTCAGGTTGGCTAATGTGGAGATAAAAGGAGCTGCGGGTTAACAGCATTAAATAAAAACAGGGGAGCCTTGTAAAAGAAACCCACACAGCTTCTGTCCTGATGCACTGGTGACCTCAGATAACCACAGTCTGAGCATTTAAATCCTTAGAGGCCTCCCAGGTGGTAGCCATTCACAATGTCAAAGAGATTTGTATTGTTTTATAGTGTTACTCAAGAATGAACAACTTGCTCTATATCAAAGGCTATCTGTGCTTCTATCTCTTTACCCAGGGGTCTTGTGTGCTCCCTCTTGCTCTGTTATTAAAACACTGTTCCACTGGAGCAGAGAGTACACCCACTGCAACAGACAGAAATTCATTAGCTGAAAGCTAACGCAGCGACTGTCCCGTTTTTTTTGTACTGTGAGGTGCATAGGTGAGCACTGATCTGTGGCACCACCGTGCCATCTGACTCAGAGTGTGAACAGCACTTCGCTGCTCCTGCATTAATGCAAACCAACTGAGGTAGAACATTAATTCATTTTCAGGGCAATGTAAAGCAGGGGGGAAATGGCATACTTTCTTTTAATTTAGCTCAATGAAATCAAGTGCTTTATGCCAGTAATACTAATGGTGCTGCAGATGATGGGTAGTCATACTATCTCATGTCTTTATTTGCTAATACACGTTCCTGCAGAGTATAATTATAGTAGCAGGATGGAGGGAGACGAAACTCTTGATATTGGTCACCACCATTTTGTCTGGGACAGTGGCTGATTCATTAATTAAAGGGTTAGTTCATCCAAATTAAATTTTCTCACTCCTGAAAGAATATAGCCAATTAGTTTTACTTTTCCTGATTTTAACATATCCGGTGCCGGGAGTTGTGCTTTTAACCATTGACTGTAAAAACAATGGACAGGCTAAGAGCTCCCAGAAGTGGAGCCACCAACACTCAATTTCCCTCTAGTGGCTGGGTGGCGAACGGGTAAAGTTGCAGAATGGGTAATAAACCGTGCCCGCTTCCTCCACGTTAGTGGATGGGACATGAGCCAACAAACAACTGAAGTACAATAAATATTTCCCAGAAGTCATTTCTGTGGTTTTTGGTCAATATTATCATGCAGATGTGCGTACAAATGGTCATTTTTGGCAAGTTTATTTTTAATAAGGTATTTGATGATATGAAAAAAGGTGCACTTTGGTTGATTTGACAGCTTTGATTGAAAGGTGGAAGTTACAGCAGCTACATGATAGAAACTTCATTGCAGACTCAAGGTCCAAACCTACAGGTTTACTCTAAAGAAGAATCATAGAAAGGTAGTTGTGCGTATTCCTGAAATTATGTACAGTACCTTTACTCTGATACCACCCCTACAGAAAACATCAGAGAAAACTGAAGTTAAAGGAGAAGACACTCTTGGAATAGACATATGGAAACATGAGAGACTTGACTTGGACTCAAAATTAATGGTTTGGGACTTGACTCAGACTCCCACCGCAAAGAGTTCAGAGTAGACTCAAACTTCCATTTCTTGACTCATGAACATCTCTTTTGTTAAGTTACAGGAGTGAGTCAGTTTGTGATGTGGGTGAGCTAACCATTGCTCATTTTAACTCTAAAGTTTTACCTTCATAGAGCCAGTCACAGAGCCCATTGAAGATAACGCCCTCCTTGCCAGTGGAAACCAAGCGAATGGAACGGCTCTCCACTGTAGACCGATAGTAGATGTTGTTCTCAAAAATAAAGATCTGCAAGAAGCACAACAAGAGGAAATCATCTTCAATCCAAATTCTGATATGCAAGATATGAAACTGGAAAATCCAGGAAAAGAGCTCATTAGTGACACTGAATATCTTATTGCGCTAAGGACTTTGAC